CCCAGTACAGTGCATTTGCTATCTGCGAGCCACAAACCGAGTAGTCACATCAATGCCAAGGAAATAGCAACATTGTTTGCAAAATATTGAAAGAAAATGATTAAAAAAAAAAAAGAGTAGTCAGCGCTGTGCTTACAGAAGAGACAGTCAACAAGAATCGAAAAAACCAGCACATTTTCATATTACATAGGACCATTATAATAACAGAGAAAACAGTGCAGAAGACTTATGCTGGAAAAATATGTAGCAATTCTCGGCAAGCAGAAACTGAACTTTGGCACTTGCTCATAAAAAGGCCTTTCAAAGCAAAACAAAACAGAAATTCACTTAATCACAGCTTGTATTTAAAAAAAAAAAAGACACTGACTAAAACAAGAGAAACAATAGAGGAAAGTTTACAAGCCAGGTCTGTACAAATTCAGTACATTCAGCCTACAGAAAATACAAATACAACCTTTCATCCATCCACGCTGGGATCCTGGCTAGCGAAAGACAGGCTTTGGGACAGAACCTTACCTGAAGCATCTCTGTTTCAGGGGAGCTATGCTGATTACACAGCCCTTTCTTCAAACTGACCTAGAACAGCAGGACTCAAACACATTGCCTCCTTATCATAAAACAAGGATTTCTAATCTGCAAATTAAAAAGCGAGACCCTTGCACTCAGACAGTGGCTGTTCTGCTCTACCCACAGTTGTACCATAACCACTGTAGTGTAAGGATTACATGATTTCTTTAGAAAGGGCTAAAAAAGAATGGCTTCGATTCAAAGGGGAGACGGCAGACTGGAAGGAAAGATTCACATTTAGCCCGTTAATCTCAGTGCCTTGTGAGCACTGCACATTGTCAGAAGGAACTATAGTTAACATGTGCATGGCTGCTCTCCCTCCCTGCCAGAAGGACTGATGTACTAAACTCGGGCCTAACCAAAAGGCTGCTGCAGGCCTAAGTGTAGTTTTGGATCAGACCATAAGAAAGCAAGGGCAGCTCTAGCCAAGAAGTGCTTCTTTCACTGTCAGGCTCAGTGCCCTAAACTAGCAGCTATCTTTGCACCAAGGCAGTTTACTCAATTTAATTCTTTTGCGGAGTTAAGACTGGGGAAGGGCAGAGAGAAAAATAAGTGCTTTAGATTGCACAGAAGATTGTCCTACGAAAAGGGGCACTTGAATGGGAAACAATTGCAGCTCGCTCTTCACATGTCTCCACAGGCCATTTAGTAGCACCTCCAAACACATCAACGTTGTTATCAACCCAGGGTATGATGTTGCCAGGCATGTTGGTAGAGCAGTTAGCAATATTCATGATGTCTTCAGCTTTTAAGACCCTGTCCCATATATTGAACTGGCTCATCTCCCCAACGAAGGCTTGAGTTGCATCAAATCTTCCTCCTACTGTGTCCTTTAGGCACACAAGAGTTAGGATTAGATGAGAAGGTTATTTCAGCATTTTCTTCTTCAAACGTGAAGACCCTCCCCCCAGACACAGAGCTTGAAGGAGGCTCAGAGCTAGACCAGAGACAAACAAGTTTCTAGAAGGGCTACTTTGAACAAGATGTTCTGTGAACAGTAAAAAGCTCCCATCAGAAACGTATCAAAACAATTCAAAGCAAACAGTAGTGCCTGTGTACCACCACACAAAGGCTATACATAAGTAACCCTGTCCCAAAGCAGTAGGGCAGGAAGGCAGCTTTAAATATTGAGGCTAATTTAGGAACCATTTTCCAAACTTGGCGCAAGGCAACTTCAGCAAGAACTGCACAGATGCGTAAGATTATAGCCATAAAGCTTTTGGAGTAATTAAACTGTAACTGCAGCCCTTGCCCGATTGCCTGCAGGTCGATAGGATGCAGTCTTTGGATCCAAATGCACAGGCTTCTTCTGGTTGAACCGTTACTAGCTCAAACCGCTACCACGTAAGTCTAAAAGCATTTGCTTGCTCCATCCACTATTTAATCACCTTTTATGGGATCACACTACCAGGAAACGGACAGCAGAGGACAGAGCCAAGCACGGTACAGGAAAGTGATGGGAATGTTACAGAAAAGCTGCCAGCCACTTAACAGTGAGCTGGAGCATCGCTATGCAGAAGGTATTTGGATTCTGAGTTTGCCATTCTGTCACGCCATGGACAAGTATCTACCAAAATCAGGACAAAATTAGTTTTTCCATTGCCTCATTGAGAACCTGGGAATCCTAGAGAAAGGCCATTTCCTGCTCCTCATTACAATTTTTTCAGAGTATAGGTGTAATTATACAAAGAGAAAGAATGTGAAGATAAGAGCAATACAATTAATAAGCAATAGCTTAGTGAGATGTTAACTAGAAGAGCAAGATTCAAAATCCTGCGGGTTTTATTTATTTTTCCCCCCTCAATATTCAAAAAGGGCCTGTCCTCAACCTCATGAGTGCTTTCTGTTGGTAGCACTAATATTCAAACTTAATAAACTTAATTCAAACTAATTACTTACCTAATTCTTTAACAAAAAATCAAATGTCTGATTTAGAGTTCATCCCTTTGACTTCACTCACAGATTTAAAGCAGACATGAAATTCTGAATAACTCCATTATTCTAAAGTGTGCAACATACCTGAAAAGCTGCAGAATTCAGTCTGGAGGGAGTGCTCTGTAGCAGGCCAATTATAAGAGATCCTGATACACCCACAAGCCCTCCAGTGCCCACAGCTCTTGGTCCCCTCACCCCCATTCACACACTTTCCTTCATCTGTTCTGGGGCTCAAGGACTAACATTTTTACTGGTCTTAGGATAAAGAGGAAAGGAAGGGGAAAAACCAGCAGCTCAAAGGATTTTGTTTAAGGCATTATTCAGATCACTGACGAAGTTGCACACTGTAGCATTAAGAGTGGGAATAGGAATAGCTGCAACATGAATATTCTGAATATTTAATGAATGAAACAAAATATACCAATGTGTGATTGCATTAAGTATTTGTTGCTTTGTTTTAATCTTTCTGATACTGTGTATGCAACAGCACCAAGTGTTTACCAAAGAAATTCTCACAGCTGCTGTTTGCTTCGGGAGTTTTGATTTGGATTTTTAAGCCCTGGAACACGCTGTTCATTCACTCACCTGTTCCTGACCCAGGATCAAGACACCTCCAGGTTTAATTGGGTGCCAAGGAGCAAGATTCTCCCCAGTGCCAAGCTTCTCTCCATCCTGAAAAGCCTCCCACATTCCATCTCTGGTTGTCCACGTTATACAGATATGATGCCATTTTCCATCACTGATGAAGAGTGGGAGCTGGGCAACCTACAAAAACCAAAAAATAACGTGCATTGCAGACCAAGTCTACCAGCTCAAGCACAACATTTAAAAAGGGACAGCATTCATTTTTTCCTCAGAAGCAAGAGCCACAGAGACAGAAGTTAGTCCACATATGTCTACCTTGCCCCTTCTCTCCTGTATTCAGGAATACAGCTGTGCTTTCTGTTCTAGAAGTAGCCTTCGTTTCATCTGGAATCAAGTGTCACAAGTACCAGAGTCTAAACTGCCATCAGTCTCCTGCTCCTGCACATTAATCTGTGGCATTTTTTGTTTAAATCTCAGTGCTCAGTCCCATCTTTCCATCCAGTGCTCATCTGCAAGCTCCTCTTAAAATCTGAGGTTTGCCTGGACCATTTGCAGTAACAACTCTGAGAAACGGACCTGCCTGTTTCCAGTAAAACTTGATGGAACCACTATATAGGGCTCCAAAATAAAGAGGAATTATGCTCCTTTAAGAATTTGATCTGAAAACTTACTCAAGTCAACATAAAGACAAACGCAGTGGGCTATGGAGCGGCGGTGATGTGGAAGTAAAGCCTCACAGAACATTAATAGAACTGATGTAATAGTGAAAAGAAAAAGTTATAGCTAAAGAGAAGCAGACTCAAGTTTCCTTCTCTTCCACAAACTATTAAAAATAATTGGCTTTTCTTTTCTATTGATTTGGGAGGATGATAGGACTGTTAAAAGTCCTTAACTACCCACACGACTGAACCACCTCAGTTGTGTTGTAGATCTGTAAACACCCGATGCCCTCAGAGAGCAGCAAGTTACTAGGAAACCTAATTGAAGGTGGGGAGAAAGGAAGTATTTATAATCTGGCTTAATGCCAAGCTTCAACAGGTCCGGTTTTCCTCAAGCCTCATGCTGAAGCTTATCAGAAACCACCAGCAGTATGAAGTAGTGCGAGACAATCCTTGCTTTTCGTACCTAAAGTGTGAAAAAAATTTAGCTGAACTGATGTTAGTCACTAAGCACAACAAAACCTGCCACAATTACATGTCTTTTGCCCTCTTCTGCAAAATTCATTTTAACATATCTGAACTTCTAGGATGAGAAAGACAGAAATACCACAACAGGCTTAGATCTCTCAGGTTTTGCAATAGTGTGGCTTCAAATACTGCTCCTGTTTCATAAAAAAAAGCCAAGATCTGCTTGTAAATTTAGAGGACATCATAACTGTGTCCACATGGAGAGGGCACGCTGCTTTGTCTCAAATCTATGTACCATCCGACTTCATTTTGAGTACTTTTATGAAAATTGCAACAGATGGACAACAACAGACAAGTAGACACAAACATCTCAGAGTCCCAGAGCTGGCTTCTCTCTGAGAGAATCAGAGTTGCTAGAGAGGTACCAAGGGTTCAAGTCTTATTCTAATTATGCAGACAATAAAGAACAGTCAGTCAATTCTCACCTTATCATTAATTAGCAGTTCAATTGGATTATTCCCCCACTCTATGAGGACAATTTCATTAGCCTGCCCAGGAACAGCATAGGAGAACGGAGTGCCAATTCCAGGAGAGGCACTTGATCTCAACCACAAGCACACAGTAAAAGCATACAGCTCTGGCAGAGTCTTCTTGATCTTCCCATATAAGTAGTTTGTGCGAAGGGGAAGGGAGACTTTGAATTCATCAGGCGACTTAAATGCACTGTTACCTAGAATGACATTGAGGAAGAAAAACCTTTAACATTAAACAAAACAATGCCTTTGTAATTCAGGTTAAGAAACAATATAATTGATACTGAAAATCTTTGGAATATTAATCACTTTAGAGAGATACACAAAAAATTATTAACGTAGTATTACTGAATGTTGATTTTGCAGCACAGAAAAATACAACTAGATTTCATACATATAATGCTAATTACTTGGTTTATTCTCTTGCTCATTTAGAGCAAAAGAATACATGGCAGACAACTAATGAGAGGCTGTTAAATATTTTCTTCCTTCATTGCTTAGTTCATGGCTGGAGGCATGCCTGTTTCAAACAATTCAAACTGTTTTGAAAGATATTTACTCTTACTACACATGGATCCTCTCGTATGCTCATTATTAAGGCACTACAGTGCTTCAAAACCAGTATTTCTTTTCCTAGTACTGCTACACAGGGAGCTAGCAGCAGCATCCCCGTGTTAGACAGCAGGTCAAGGAGGAGGTTGCTGCTGTCATTTTGGATGGCCAATCTGGAATAAGAAAAAGCTGACATATTCCAGAAGGAGTTAAATGCAGTAGCACTGATTTCTGTCCCATAGACAAATCAGGAGGAGATCTGTACAAAAACATAAAGCTGAAGTTCGAAGCAACCCAAAGAAAAATGCAATATAAAGCTATGAACTATGAAAGCATTAGACATTTATTGTCATATAAAAGCAGAATTTGTTAGCTTTTTCTAAAAGATGTGATAAAAAACAGAGAGGTATTCCAGAAAGATGTTCATGAAATTGAGAACTCAAGACCAAAACTTTCTATTGCAATACTCTATGACATGGTTACTCTCCTGATGCAGCTGCTAACAAGTAATTTTCTAGAATTAAATACTGAGGAGGAAATCCCACCTTGTGCCACAAAATAAAACCCCAGTAGAGTGGGGTAGTAGAGTGTCACCCTCAACCTTTTAGCAACCTGTTCTTCCAAGTTCCACTCGTTTCCTTTACTCGCATTCCTGAAACAAAGGCAACCCCCTTGCCAAACTTCACACTCCAGTCCAAACGAAGAGCTGTTCTCACAAAAGCTTGCCACAGTTCTCCTACGTAATTTTTTAAGCCATTGCCACTCTCAGTTCCCACTCTCAGAAGCAACTGAAGTGTTTTGACTGCATTTTTCAGAGAAGGAGGGGGTGGAAGAAAAAGCTTGTCTGATGCTTGCATCTGTCTTGAGATACTTACAGACCAAAACCTGAAGAAAAAAAAAAAATCCCCGAGGGTCTTCGGGCTCATGTTGAGCAACCTCCACTAGGCTGGTACAACCAATCTCATAAAAAAAGAAGCATACTCCATTAAGAGCATTAGTCACTCTGTGAAAGAACTTAAGGAAACAATAATGGTTTGGAAAAGAACAAACTATTTATCTTTTTTATATTTTTCAGTTTGTTATCTTGACTTGAAAACATTCACAAGTTTAAATAAGATGATCCTCCTGTTCTGGGCACCTGCACAGGATAGGAAAATCCCTTTCCTGAAGTGAATTGGTTTTGGACAGGATGGGCAAGAAATATTGTTATTCCCTTTTAGAGATGAAGAAAATAGATTTAGACAGAGCAAGTGATCTGTTCAGGTCTCCAGCAAAGATAGGAATCACAAGTCCAGGCACTGTTAGTTGCAGGATCATTCCTCCACCCACTCCTGCTTTGTAAAGCACCATCTACTGCTGTTGATGGAGACAGCTGGTGAAGGAATTACCAGAAGACTTTGGGAATCACAACAGTTGTACAAACTTCAAACTCTTCTGCCTCACAGATTACTAAAGACAGATGTCACAACTACAGGCTAAAGAAATTCCAAAGTTCATAGTGTCACCTTATGAGGTTAGTTTTTTCCTTCATTTTTTTAGTCTCAGAGCAACAAGGAGCTTATGACACTCCAGTTAGTTGTCAGGAATTGATGCACCACAATACGGTATTTAAAATAAAAGCACAATAAAAATCCCTTTCAAAAGAGGTCAGATCACTTCAAATATTGTCTATATTTAATCTATAAAATTATTAATTTCTTAGAGCATTATTACCCTCACTTTGATTTGACAGAAGAACCAAAGGCACAGAAGAGCTAAGCTGCACTGTAATAGAGAACAAATTACACAACTGAAAGACGGTGTCTTGGTTCCTGGCCCAAATTCTTCACTTCCCTGGAGACTTAAGGCAGCCCTCTCTCTTCACACAAAAAAATAAAGGTGGGAACCGGCTATTTTTATCCTAACTAAATTACACATTCTTGTTCTCCCACCACTCCCTTTCTTTCTGATGACTTGCTGAGATGAGTCACATCTTCCAGAGATAAGGACTAGCAATACTTGCCACATAAGACATTATCAGGCCACTAATTCTCCAGAACTTCTAGTTTAGGCTTTATCTTGGCTCTCAGGAAATACTAAATGACAGAGCCAGGAGAAGTTCTCTTCTTCCTCCTTCCCACTTTAAAAAAAACAGATGCAATATTACACAGACAAATCCATTAGGTTGCATTTTAAAATTCATGAGGTACATATGTTTGCAACATTTTAAAAGCATGTCCATTAACCTGCTTTTAAGCAGAGAGCCTAATCACCTTGGAAAATCATTTAAAGACTGGGCAGTGACATTTACTGGTACTCTAGTCCTACACAGTCCACTCTAGGCATATATAGTCGATACAGTTAGTTCAGTTCTTGAGCTCATTTCCACGGGCATTTGTAATTCAAATAAACAGACTCTACTCAGCATAGAGACCTCAGTAATAATTAATCTAAGTATCTGCATACATGACTAGGATTAAAAGAGTGTCTCCCAGTAGCACCATGTGTCATCTACTGTAAACCCTAAAGGCTATATACTTGAGATAGGACATGATTCTGGGTAACTGCAGTTACCCAAAGTCATACCCAGCCACAAAAGCACAGCCCACCAGCAATACTTCCAAAGCAGCAGGAAATGGTCTTGGTATAAAATGCCATTCATTACATCAAAGGCGGTTGTACAATGATTTTCAGTCCAAATAAAGAAAGGCAGCTCCACTTAGATGTGTGCTTGACATCATCTAGGTATTCACCTGACACCAATGTCATACTCCTTCCTCTTTCCACTTTCCTCCTTATGTATCTTTCCATATCACAAACACTAAGAGTTTCATCCTAACCACCCACGCATGCCAAATCAGGAGACAGGCAGGCAAAGCCATGCAGAGGCCTGTCAAGCAGGAAACCTGTGACAAAAGGAAAAAGGGAATCCAAGAATTTGCACTGTCACCTACCATTTAGTCCAGCACCTTAACTACCTTTCCCTCAAGGCCCACATTTAGACTACAGCACCAGAAGAAGGGAGTAAACAAAATTATTCAGCAGGGGGAAGCGTTTAGATTCTGTGCAGATTACCTTTTCCCTCTTTCTAGCAATGCATTCAAGGCTGTCTCAGTCTTCTGCCGATGGGCCGATGTCTCATTATGAAGCAGAGACTTTTCATCTTCAAGCTCAGCCACTTTGCTCAGGAGCTGGCGTTCCAGGTCTCCAAGCCTCCGCTGAAGCATCTCTCGAAGGTCATTAGGCAGTGCTGCATATGACACGTTGGCTCGAAGCTGGTGCTTTAGGGGAAATGACAAGGAAAAAAAAAAGTAATTTCTAAAACAGAAACTGTGAAATACAGGTACACTCCTGATTCAAAGGAAAGAAAGCAAGATCACCGAGTTCTCCAGCAAGTACAAAACAGCCATTGCTTTTTAGCACTTGTCATGTTCAGTGCTTTTATGAGCACTGAAGCTAAACAGTCCTGAAACAAAAGGGCACTTTTGATAGAGGCTTCCAGCATTTCCTACGACAGAGTCTTCATACATTTAAATTCAGTAAAAATCTATGTAGGGAGCCAGGTCTGATGCACTTCCCTTAGCGTACATGTGGCACATGAGTCAGTTGTTGCTTGACTTACTGCAAGTGACATTGCCAGTGTCAGTAAACAGAAAAATTATTATTTCTTTTTAAATTAAAAAATAAGGTGCTTTGAATGCAATTTACTAAATGAAAGTTTCCCCAGGTTTGATTTGCAGAGTAAGGAAGTCAGATGTTCTTTAGATCAACCATAAGTAAATAGAAATTCTTTCACTGGGTAGTAAACTGCAAAAAACCCTACACTTTCTCAAACGGTAGGATCTTTAAGGCTACCAAGAAACCAACAGTTCCATTTACCATATTATTCTAGTGGAGCTTCTCATCTACAACTAAAAAAAAAATGCCTCAAAAAGGCAGCAACAGTAATAGAAGGATGTTACACTACCAGATCATTCAAAAGTGTACCTGAAAAGCAGGCTAGAAGGTTTAGACCTCACAGAATAACCTTTAGGAAGTTAATTGCCATCCCCACATCACCTCCAATGGTTTGGAGGACAGCAGTAGGACATGCATGTAGCTGTCAGGGTGCGGAAAGTAAAACAAAACACAGCACAATTCTTACGGGAATACTCTCTATAAAATACTCCCATGAGTGCCACTCAACCATGTACACTGTCAAAAGGCTCATGGAAATGACTTCTCGGTGGGCTTGGACCAAATCCCCTTTCTATCCACAGGCATAGCGAATCCGGTTCTTTTCATTTTATGTCAGCTCTAAATGCATCATCTTATCTTCACAATCTGCCCAACACAATCTCCTCGTCACCACTGCCCTGCTCAGCACCATATGCCACGGTCTTACTGCCCAATTCCTCAGCCTTGTATCTCAAACCCCATGATGTCACATTCCCAGAAAGAGATTTAGACATATTAACACAGAAATTAAGCTGGTGACAAGCAGGAAAACCATAATCTCCCCCCATGCAGTGGAAGAACACATTGACAGAGGAGCCCTTCAGGTCTTCTACCACCAGAACAAGCACATAAATACTAAAGAAAAGGAGACACGCCAACCAAGCAGCTCGCTCCCAGGGCTCGGCAGTCGGCATTTCTCTCCACACAATTAAGGCACTAGTTGCGCCCACCCGCGCTCCAGGGCCTGCTGGGCGTGAAGTCGGCCAAGTCTCCAGGCGGGCACATTGACAGAGGAGCCCTTCAGGTCTTCTACCACCAGAACAAGCACATAAATACTAAAGAAAAGGAGACACGCCAACCAAGCAGCTCGCTCCCAGGGCTCGGCAGTCGGCATTTCTCTCCACACAATTAAGGCACTAGTTGCGCCCACCCGCGCTCCAGGGCCTGCTGGGCGTGAAGTCGGCCAAGTCTCCAGGCGGGCGGGCAGGGGC